AAATATTACGGTTCTATATATAATTTATACTGTCTTAATATTCAGTAAGAAACTTATATGATACAATTTTCCATTATGTTAAGTCAATCCTCTATAAAGCCTTAGCTCAAACTCTTTCAGAACCTATTTTTTTCCAGTGGGCAACATTCTAAGGCAACCCTTTGGCACTAGGTCATTTGAAAAGTCACAGTTCACAACTTAACTTTAAGACCAAACAGAGCACTTTTATCTTCAGGGTTACTTGCTCCATAAACTCATTTCAATTACTTTCCATTTTCAAATGGTAAATACATCCCAATGCTTTTTTTGAGGTTAATGTTTTGGTTTTAGTTATTTTATTTAGTTAATATAAATTTACATTAACAACTACAGAATAGCATAATGTCAATGCAATTTTCACTAAGAATTAACATTTCTGAAAACTAAGAAACACAAGAAATACAAATAATTCATCTGCTGAAGCAGTGTCATGTTTGTGATTTACATTTCATGCTAATCGGATCTGAATAAGATAAGTTCCTAATTTAACAATGGTTGCATTCTTCAATTAATTACTTCCTTTGAACTTTACCTCTGTGGTGACTGATCACATTGCTAATCATGTATAATGATGACTTTTCATGTCATTGGAGTAATTTGCTACAAATGATTAATTGTAAAGGGATTCATAGTTAATTTACAAGGAATTTGTGAGGAAGATTTAGTTCCCTGAATTTGTCAGAGAGAAAGAAAATTGATTTTTAAAGAACTGTTTCTTAATTCATTTAATTATAAATGAATTTATAATTCTATATATAATTACCTGTATCATTTTCCAACACTCTTTTCAATATACTCGTGTATTTTTAATAACAAAAGAGCAAAACTAATTCACTTAACTATCCCTAATTTACAGTTAAGTAAATATAAGACCTATACCTAAAATTAAGTTTTAAAGTTGAGCACTGTTTTAAGTTTTCACCTTTGAAAACAGAAGTTCTCCAAACAATATCAAACTACAAATAGATATCAAACTACACTACAAGGACATAGCAATCAAAACAGCATGGTACTGGCATAAAAATAGACATATAGATCAGTGGAACAGAATGGAGAGCCCCGAACTAACCCCACACCTTTATGGTCAATTAAACATTTGACAAAGCAGGCAAGAACATACAATGGGATAAAGACAGTCTCTTCAATAAATGGTGTTGGGAAAATCAGACAGACGTGTGGAAGTGAAACTAGACCACCTTCTTACACCATGCACAAGAATAAACTCATAATGGACTAAAGGCTTAAATGTTAGGCTTGAAACCATGAAAATTCTAGAGGAATCAGAGGCAGTAAAGTCTCAGACATTTCTCATAGCAACATTTTTTCTGTTTTTCTGATATATCTCCTTGAGCAAGAGAAACAAAAGAAAAATAAGTAAATGGAACTATATCAAACTAAGAAGTTTTTGTACAGCAAAGAAAATCATCAACAACATGAAAAGACAACCCACTGAATGGGAAAACATACTTGTCAGTGATATATCTAATAAAGGGGTAACATCCAAAGTTTACAAAAAACTTGTACAACTGAACACACAAAAAAAACAAACCATCCTATTAAAAAATGGGCAAAAGATCTGAATAGACACTTCTCCATAGAGAACATACAGATGGCCAGTAGACATATTAAAAGGTGCTCAACATCACTAATCATCAGAGAAATGCAAATTAAAAGCACAATGAGATATCACCTCACACCTGTCACAATGGCTATCAATAAATGAACAAATAACAAGTACTGGTGAGGATGTGGAAAAAAGGGAACCCTCATGCACTGCTGGTGGGAATGCAGATTGGTGCAGCCACTGTGGAAAACAGTGTGGAGTTACCTCAAAAAATTAAAATTGGAACTGCTTTATTACCCAGAGATTCCACTTCTGAGAATATATGTAAAGAAACCCAAAACATGAATTCAAAAGAATATATGTACCCTTATGTTCACTGCAGCACTACTTACAATAGCCAAAATTTGGAAGCAGCCCAAGTGCCCATCATTAGATGAGTAGATAAAAAAGCCATGGTATATATACATGGTGGAATGCTACTCAGCCATAAAAAAGAAAGAAATCTTACCTTTGGCAACAGTACAGATGAACCTGGAGAGTATTATGCTAAGTGAAATAAGCCAGTCAGAGAAAGACAAATACCATATGATGTCTTTTATATGTGGAATCTAATGAACAAAATAAACCAACAAAATAGAAACAGACTCATAGATAAAAAAACACACACATACACTGTTAGATGGGAAGGAGTTTGGGGCGCTAGGTGAAAAATGTGAAGGAATTAAACAAAAAGAAAAACAGACATATTTTCATAGAAACAGACAACAGTACAGTGACTACAAGAGGGAAAGAGGGGTTAGGGAGGTAGGAGAAGGTAAAGAGGGAGATAGTGGTGATGGAGAGAGAGGACTTTGGATGGTGAATACAGAATATAATATATAGATGACATATTATAGAATTGTACACTTGAAAAGTATATAATTTTATTAATGAATTTCATCCCAATAAATTCAATAAAAATGTTTTAAAACAAAGGTATGGTTCTCCTAAATTTGAACTTATCAGCAATTGATGTGCTACTTCCTGAACTTATAATGTTCATACAGTTATTTATTCAACTGTATTCAGTAGAAAAAATATCATATTATTTTTCCAACATATACTACCTAAGTTTAATAGCAGTGACAATTCTAAAACTCCTTTACCTTCTTTTGCATATGCATTTGTATAACTGTTGCAGGCCCACATCATTTATGAAAATGTCTATATTTTTCCAAATGCAAGAGATTTGAGGAGAAAAGTTTTAAGATAACTCGGTTTTTATAGAATCATCTCAGCTTCTTATCTGTGTGGAGCAAGAATCTATCATATGCAAATTTTATATTTCTCTTCAAGGAGCTAGAACTGAGAACCATCTTTTTTTCAATTACAGATATCATCTATACATCCAACATAGAAATTTTATTTTAAAAGTTCAGATAGGTACCCTGGCTGGTGCGGCTCAGTGGACTGACTACCAGCCTGCAAACCAAAGGGTCACCAGTTTGATTCCCAGTCTAGGTTACTTGCCTGGGTTTTGGGCCAGGTCCCCAGTAGGGGGCTCACAAGAGGCAACCATACATTGATATTTCCCTCATTTTTTCCCTCCCTTCCCCTCTCTAAAATAAATAAATAAAATCTTTAAAAAATAACAAAATAAAAGTTCAGACAGGCAAGAAAAAAATAAGAATTCTCTAAGGAAAAAGGAAAATGAGCAGAAATGGCAAAAGAATAGCCTCAAATATTTTACCTGGTTAATTAAAATATTTGAGTTGGGGGTGGGGAGGAGCAGGGGAGAGTAATGATGGGGGAGGGAATGGGGGAGAGTAATGATGGGGGAGGGAATAACTGAACAACAATAAAAATTTTTAAATACTTTATCTGGTAGCAAATAAACAAAACTGTCCCAGTCTTTGACATTAAGAAATTCATTAAGTACTTGATACAGCACACACCCAAGCACACACACGAGGAGGCATATGGGCACAAACCACACCACTAAGTGCACATTTACTCTTTCCTTACCCAGGGATTATTTTTCTTTCTTCCTTAATAGAAGGAGTCAGCAGCTTCCACAAACTCAACCTTCATAATTCAGAAATCACTCTCAACTTCAGAGGTTTGACCTAGACCTAACTATCCCTCCCACACCTCAGTGATTGGTTCAAGTAAGCCAGTCAGCTCAATAGAGAGGATCCTGAGAATTTTCTTTGAATGGCTTAGCAAAGCCCCTGCCTTTTTCCCCTTGTGTTAGACACCAAGAAGTAGAAGGTGGAGCCGTCACAGTCAATCTGACTCTCTGAAGGAGGGCCAGAAGCTACCAATACCATGGAATGAAATGAGAATGCACAGAAGAGAAATCACACCCTGATGACAGCACAAGAACTTTGTATCTAGTCACTTTTGAACCCAGGATCTACCTCTGGACTTTTCAGGTATAAGAATCAACACATTTCCCCCACTTTTTTCCTCTTAATCATTTGGAGATCAGTCCATTGCTTTTGTTGCTTTGTTATTTATAACTGATAGAGTCTTAATTAATAAATTAAGGTTCTGCCATCCTAATGGTGACATAAGAAACACACAGAAATTCACTGCTCAATTGCCCTTACCAGTCATACACCAGGTGTGTCCATTTCCTTCATAATTCTGATTCATTTATCACAGGGTTTCATTAACCTTATGAATGTGTACTACTACTTTGATATACCATATTGTGTTGTGTATAATGCACTCCCATATATGATATGCACCCACATTTCTGGCACAAATTTTCAGTAAAAAATCTTTTGTTTTCATTTTTTATTCAATTTTTCATTTATTTATATTTAGAGACTTGTTTTTTGTATTATAAAGGAATTTTAACATTTTTTAACATATTATGGTACAAGAAATTTTATGTAACAAATAACTACAAAACACAAGAATAGATACAATGTATTTCAGATATTATCCACGTATAATGTGCAACCTTATTTTTCCCTCAAAATTTTGGGCAAAAAAAGTGTACATTATACATGGCTAAATACAATAATATAATATAAATACACAATTTAATCAATGTACAGCTAATATATCAAATAATATCTTTTATATGTACCATTTATAAAATTTTTTCATATATGTTTTTGAATCCATAAAACAAGCCTATGAAGAAAACATTATTAGAGCTAATAGGTAAAATATAGTGTAGGCAAGTTGACATGACTCTAAGTCTTCACAGCTAGTAAGTGGTAAAGGCCAGGTCATCTCTTCATTATTCTTCATTATCTCTATTTTTTCATTATGCTTTTCATCACTATACAAATGTTTTTTATCTTGAAAAGCATCATTGACTATAAATGCAAGAAAGGCATAAGCATTAAGTTCTATCAAATTAAAAAAAAATATATGACTTTTTAAAATACTATAATCTTACCTAAATCAGGATCTCGAATTCCCATGTACGTTTCAAGAAGATCATCAACCTTTTCAATAGCCTTGGCTTTGGTTTCAGAGGGCTTTATCGAAGAAAAGAGAAATAAGATATTATACTATTATATGAAATTTCTTGAATGTTAAGGCATACAAAGGGGAAAATATGAGATGGAGCTAGTTCATGGTTGTTTACTTCAGCTAATTTGAATGCAAATATATCTAGAATGTGCTCTGCAACTCAGTACAAATCTATACAGTAAGTACTAATTTTTAGCATCAGCAGTAAGTGCTATGGATTCAAAGAAAAGCCAAGAACACAGTCTCCAAGTAGCTGGCGATCGAGAAGGGGATGCAGATGTGAAAATAAATGGCTAAATGATAATAATAAGCACAATTTTTTTAAGGATATCTAAGGTACAGAGGCATCATGGGGGAAGAAAATTTAAATCTCTAAGAGTCATGGAAGACTTCAGAAAGAAGTTGACAAGATTGTGTTTTCAAAGACGAACTGGTGTCGATAAGCAGGGAGGGCACTGCACAAAGAAGACAGTAAACGCAGAGTCTGCTTGAGGTCAGCGAGTCTGATGGAAGACTGTAGCGTGGGATGGGACCGGAAAGAGCCCGTTGTGATGAGAAACACAGGGGCAGGCGTGACTAGAACTTTAGGGGACCAGGGTGCCACGAAAAGGGCTCTGGTCTTTGTCCTGCTGGCCAGAGCCTGCAAACCTTTCAATGGCTCACCCCAGAGAAAGACATTTCTGAATACATACCCTTATTGGTTATTTTTTATTTAATTTTATTACTTGCAGATTTTATAAATTATGCACATGCATTACCATATTAATCTATTGTGCACACTATAAAAATACACAAAAATAGATTTTTTTAAGGATAAGGTCATGGTGAAATACTCTTAAAGTAATCATTGTCTTACATATTAATAGTACCAAACATTTTTGTTCTTCCTAAACTGATATTAAAAGTTTCAGTGAATTGCAATATATAATGAAATCATTATATTGGAATCTTCAAACTAATATAATGTTACAACTCAATATTTTAAAAATGTTTTCAGTGAAAAAAATGACTGGTTATGCAGGGTGTGGTAAAAGAGGCTTACAGTTCTTCACATTCATGATGCAATAATTAATAAATAATAATACAAGAATAAACTGTGTTTTTCATACTCACAACTGTAAACCTACTTTTGCGCTACCCTGTATTATATTATTCTTTTAAAATCTAAGTTTTATATTTTATAAAGTCTTGTCCCGTGCTCAATTTATTTCAATATTTGGTTTTAAATGACTTTGCAGCTGAAAAGGAAATGCCTGAAGGTGTTAAAAATCTCTAAGTGCAAATGTTGAATTCACAATTACATTGTAAGAGATTCATACTTATAGTATTGTTACAAATGTATGTTGCTTTGTATTCTCAAAACTTATTTAAAATATTTGCATTTGCATGCAAATAAAATTTTATTTTTAGTTCTCTGAGGATATTGTTATAACTTTCTCATGTTTTTATTTATCTTAACCAAGCCTTAAAACAATATTGGACACCATACATCCCTCTTGCCTTCTTTCCAGCATCTGGAATGGCCTCTGGAGAGCAACAGGCTGTGCAAAGCAACTTAGGCACTTGCCCTCGCATCTGCCTGGCCATTGTGTAAGTTACCTCAGCAAGTACCAGTGTGTCCCCCATAGAGTCGCTACCACTCTGTCAGTAATTCTAAATGGCTCCTGATCTCATCACCCCTCTTCCATTCACACTCTGATTGCCTGGGTTCAGCTCTTATCTCTTCTTTTCTTTTTTTTTAGTTGTAATATACTTGATAAAACATTACGTCTGCTTCAGGTGTATAAATACAATGATGTGATATGTGTAGGTATTGCAAAATCATCACCACAATACGTCTAGTTAACATCCATCACACACATAGTTACCAATTTTTTTTCCTGTGATGAGAACTTTTGAGATTTATTCTCTTAGTGCCTTTCAAATACACAGCACAGTACCACAAACCATAGTCACTGTCCTCTGCACCACATCCCCGCAATGTATTTGAGCACGGAAGTCTGTGCCATTTGGCCGCCTTTCCCCATTCTGCCTATCCCCCACCCTGCCTCTGGCAACCACCAGTCTGTTCCCTGTAACTGTGAGTTTGGGTTTGTTTTCCTTTTAGATTCCACATGTAAGTGACATCATATGGTATTTGTCTTTTCTGACTTATTTCACTTAGCATAATGCCCTCAAGTTTCATCCATGCAGTCCCAAATGGCAGCATTTCCTCCTTTCTTATGGTTGAAGAATATTCTCCATCTTTTCTTATTTGCACAGGTTTTCCAGTTTCTCTGCCTGTGTACAATCTTCAGTCTCTCAAATCCACCCTGCTCAACAAGGCATCCCCCAGAACTAAGAAATTCTTCTAAGTGCAGTGCTGCTCCCCTCCAAGTTCTCAAACAGCTCCTCTGTTCTCTACAGGCCCTTCACATCCTGACGCAGGCCTGCACCTGCACCCTCACCAACCCCCACCAGATACCATCAGCGCCCACAGTCCAATCCCAAGAACACCTCTAGGGCCCCCAACGCCATCACTGTTTCAGCCTACAACACCCTTCTCACCATCCTTAACCAACTTGACCATTCCTTCTGGAGGAAACTCTGGCCTCCCCTCTTTCCCTGACAGCAGCTGATCAGCCCCTGCTTGGTCACATCAACCCTTTCCCCCTGGTTTGTAACAGCTCCTTTTCATGTCTCTCTCCTTTCAGAGGAAAACAAGGTCTTTGTTCTGGTCTTTGTATGGCCAACCAGCTCCTGGACCACCTATTGAATAAATTAGGAGGTGTGTAGGTGGAGTGTCATTCACAAAGTCATCAGAATTAACATCAGAAGCTGTGCTAGGTAATGAGGGGATGATTTGATAAATCTATAAATCCTTCAGTGTTTGAAATAGATTGTAAGTCATTTGTATCAGATTTAATATTATTACCACACTAGCTCTTTCCTTTCATTATGAGCTATTTTAATTGCCCTATTTAATGAAACAGGCTATGCAAATAGGAATGGAGTTTTAGATGTTTATCGTTGAATGAATCTTGCCTACCTCCCCAGAGAGATCTTCAGCTACTCTTTCATTCCAGCAGCTTATACACAGCAGGTGCCAAAAAAATATTTATTAACTGTGTTAACTATTAGAAGTGACACTTCCCCTGAAGTGATTTGGAGTTTTCGCTGCCACCCCAGGGACCTTTGCAGGCCGTTTTAGGGTCTGTCCTTTCTGACAGCCTCGTCCCCCGGCTCCCCACTTCCAGCTCCCTCCCACTGCTTTTTCCATTGCCTGACACATTCCTTTCTTCCACTGACATTTACTCATTTGTCCAATAAACATTTACTGCCCTCAGCAATGTGCCTGGTGGTATGCTGGGCAAAGGAAAGATAAAGACTCGGAATGACCAGAAGTCACTGCCTGGATTTTTTTTTTACATACTTCATCATACTTTGCTTTCAAAACGCCATTGACTCTCCCTGGTTTCTTCTTTGTTGCCCTTTGCCTCCAAATCAATTCCTTTCTGCACCCAGGACCAAGGCACCCAACTCAAAATCTTCCTCTAGATTCCCCCAAACTGACAACATCCTCAGTGGCTCAAAAAACTGACAATCTGGCTGGTGTGGCTCAGTGGATTGAGTACTAGCCTGCAAACCAAAGGGTTGTCGAACCAAAGGGTCGTTGGTTTGATCCCCAGTCAGGGCACAGGCCTGGGCTACAAGACAGGTTCCCAGTAGCAGGTGTGTGAGAAGCAACCACACATTGATGTTTCTCTCCCTCTTTCTCTCCCTCCCTTCCCCTCTGTCTAAAAATAAATAAATAAAATCTTTTTTAAAAAAGGACAACATTGGCCTCATGGTTTTTTGAGCATCTGTTCCATCAAGCCCCCCCACAGTTGACTCTGACCATGGTCACCCCACAAGCTCTGGGAACCTGCTCTATAGAAAGAGCCTCCAGGGACTTCTGGCAAGATGGAGGCATAGGTGGACGCACCGTACCTCCACGCACAACGAAGATTAGAACAACAACAATTTAGAGGCAGAATAACACCCAGAACTGACAGAGAATTTATCTGAATGGAAGTCGGACAGCCAAGAAGTTGAAGTAGACCCGTTCATCCAGACCAGTAGGAAGGGCGGAGAGGAGGAGCCGGGCGCAGGGCGCAGCACACAGTGCGAGCGGAGAGCAGGGAGAACGGGGCACCTAAGGCAACTGGGATTGCGTTAGCCATCCGGGGCACGCAGGATCACAGTGGGTAGACCCTGAGGACGTAAGTGGCGGCTGGCAGACCCAGTGTGGCAGTGATTGTGGACCAGGGCAGAGCGTGCAACCCAGGACCCCAGGAGGGGTACTGAGGTGCCAGGAGAGCGGAGATACCGTCATTGTTCCCTCCCACCCCCGCCCCCACCCCCACCCCCACCCCCGCCCCCGCCCCCACATACAATGTCACAATCTAGCGACTGGGGTGCCCAGCCCCAGTGAACACCTAAGGCTCACCGTAACAGGAGCAACCAGACCAACAAAAAAAAAAAGAGAGAGAGAGAGAGAATGTCTCAAATAGAAAAACAGAGTGATGCCCCAGGGCTCATCCTTTTGAGCGACTGAGAGGTAGCCAATCTATCAGATGCACAGTTCAAAGCACTGGTCATCAGGAAGCTCACAGAATTGGTTGATTTTGGGCACAAATTACATGAAAAAATGCAGGTTACCATAAAAGAGATGAAGGAAGATGCACAGAGAACCAATAGCGATGGGAAGGAAACTGGGGCTCAAGTCAATGGAGTGGACCAAAAGGAAGAAAAATACAACCAAACAGGAAAGAATGAAAAAATAAGAATTCAAAAAAACGGGGAGAAGCTTAGGAACCTCCAGGACATCTTTAAATGTTCCAACATCCGAATTATAGGGGTACCAGAAGGGGAAGAGGAAAAGCAACAGATTGAACATGTATTTGAACAAATAATAAAGGAGAACTTCCCCAATCTGGCAAAGGAAATAGACTTCCAGGAAATATAGGAAGCTCAGAGAGCCCCAAAGAAGTTGGACCCAAGGAGGAACACACCAAGGCACATCATAATTACATTAGCCAAGATTAAAATGGAGGAGAGAATCCTAGAAGCAGCGAGATAAGGGGACAGTAACCTACAAAGGAGTTCCCATCAGACTGTCAGCTGATTTCTCAAAAGAGACCTTATAGGCAAGAAGGGGCTGGAAAGAAATATTCCAATTCATGAAAGACAAGAACCTACATCCCAGATTACTCTATCCAGCAAAGCTTTCATTTAGAATGGAAGGGCAGATAAAGTGCTTCTCAGATAAGATCAAGTTAAAGGAGTTCATCATCACCAAGCCCTTATTTTATGAAATGTTAAAGGGACTTATCTAAGAAAAGAAGAGAAAGAAAAAGCATGTATAGTAAAAGGACAGCAAACTCACAATTATTAACAACCACACCTAAAGCAAAACCAAAGAAACTAAGCAAACAACTAGAACAGGAACAGAACCAAAGAAATGGAGATCACATGGAGGGTTAGCAACAGGGGAGTGGGAGGAGGAGAGAGGGGGAAAAGGTACACGAATAAGTAGCATAGATGGTAGGTAGAAAATAGATAGGGGGAGGGTAAGAAAAGTATGGGAAATCTAGAAGCTATAGAACTTATAAGTATGACACATGAACATGACTAAAGGAGGGGGATATGGGTGGGAGAGGGTGTACAGGGTGGATGGGATTGAAAGGGTGAAAACAGGACAACTGTAATAGCATAATCAATAAAATATATTTTAAAAAAAGAAAAGGAAAGAAAGAAAGAAAAAGAAAGAAAGAAAGAAAAGAAAGAAAGAAAGAAAGAAAGAAAGAAAGAAAGAAAGAAAGAAAGAAAGAAAGAAAGAAAGAAAGAGAAAGAAAGAAAGAGCCTCTGAATGGTTCGCCTGTCTCACACCTTGGCTCTCCAATCACTAGGGGATCCTGGGACAACATGCACACACAGAGGGCCTTGATGGGCCCAGGGTCTGTGCTCCTGCCTTCTGAATTTCCCTGGCCTCCACCGCCTGCCTCATCTCCCCAGTTCCCACAGCATGGCTTCATCACCACTGTCTTCGCTGTGTGGAGTGGGCCTGACCTCCCACTTGCCACTTTGAATCCTGCCCCTAACCCCTGCTGTCCTCTGTTTCCACCCCACTTCTTCCTTATATTTTTGTCTCTTCTACTTCTGCTGTTTTTCACGCAAACACTAACCCAGTCAATAAGTGAAACCTTCACTCTTCCCAAGCTTAAATGAATTATGTGTTAATTCATTAATTCAGCAAAGATTTGAGCCCCTTTGATGTGTCAATTACTGTCCTAGGCTTGGGAGACCCTGCAGTGAACAAGACATATGGGGAGGTGGGGCTGAGGGTAGAGGGATTAAGCAAAAAAAAAGGGAGAGAGAAAACACTCATGAACACGGACAACAGTGTGGTGAATTGTGGTGAGGGGTGCATGGAGGTGGAAGAAGGTAGGTGGGATAAATGTCGATGGAAAAAATAAAGTAAAAATGTAAATTTTAAAAAAAGACATGAGCAAAGGAGATAGACAATAGACAAAAAGGAAACAAGGATATAATGAGCCACATTGTGTTTAGTGCTTTAAAGAAAATTAAGGGTAAGGAAGATTGGGCAGCAGAAGGGGCAGCAGGAATAGCTACTTAGACAAGATACTTAGAGGCATCATCCTTTTAGAGAAGGTGCTATGTGGGCAGAAACCTGAAGAAGGCAAGCGGGGGAGCCATGCCCATAAACTCACAAAGCACTGAGGTAGAGGACACAGCAGTACAAAGACCCCAAGAGGGCATACATCTGGAGTGACAGGGGACAGAGAGAGACCCATGTGGCAGACGCAGAGGAAACCAGGAGCAGAGTGGTGGGAAATGAGATCAGAGAAGAAATGCAGGGTCAGATCTTGTCCATCATTTGAGGATGTCCACTTTCATTCAGAGTGACACAGGAAGCTACTGGAGGGAGAGAAGACGGGGCACCTTGGGCCAGAGTGGTGGGAGCAGAAGTGGTGCCTTGCTACAGGATACTGGCCTGCTGTGGAGGCAGACCCGCCAGGACTGGCTGATGGAAGGGACGTAGAACGTGCCAGGGAATAATCAAAGATGAGTGCAGAATGTTTCACCTGAGGAGACTAGAATTCATGAATATTATCTTTCACCATCAAAATCTTAAGTATGTCTACTCCTCCAGGTGGCTCTGAGATCTTTTCCAGTTCTTAGACCTTTCAACATTTTTGAGCCAGTCCCCAAGTCTATAGACTCCAGAAAAAGTTGCCTGCAGGTAGCTGAGGATCGCTATAGATCACAGTCTCTTCTCATGCACTTAGTTTCTATAGTTCCTTCTTAAAGCCTTCAGTAATTTTCATATTGATTAAGTGGGCAATGAATTAAAAGTCGTCCTTTAGTTAGAATGTATGGCATCTTCTTTAAGCTCATGGTTTTACCTCTCTTCCCAGCTCCAATAACCACAAACTCCCACATGTGTCCAAACAGAATGGAAGACCAACTGAACACAACATACCATTTCCTCCACGGTGGCAGGACCTTTTGGTCTCAGGCGAAGTGTCTCCCTTCCGGTACCAAGTCTTCCTGCTGAAGAGTTTCCAGTTTTTGACCTTGGCTCTATTTCTATAAAGATACAATAGAAGGGGAAAGGTATATCTATTCAGAAATAATTCCAACAGACTGCTATAAAAGTTACTGTAGTTTCCATCACAAAACTTTGTGTAATTATTACAGAGATTTTATAAAAAGCATTGCTTCTTACAGAATTTCCCAAATCAAATTCACCTGTCATTCATTAGTCTCATGGGAGTCTCTACAAGAGGTCTGGCTACAAAAGGAAAAGGGAAGTATTTGAAATATACAAAAGGGAAAGAATGGAAGTTATAAAGAATAAAAAATAAAATGGTTGGCTTTGTTGTAAGAGTAAAGAGGTGCACCTGGCAGGAAAGCAGAGGTAAGAGGCCAGCTGACTTCTTCAAGGTCATGAAGAAGGGAAAGAGCCATATCTGAATAAAAATTTTTAAAATAGAGGGAGAGAGAAAATATTACTTGAATACCTACCTTCTGTTTGATGCTTTATATCCAAAATCCCATATAATACTCACACCAATCTATGAGGCAAGTTATAGCCCTCATTTCACAGAAAAGGAAACAAAAACTCACTAAGGAGAAGAACTGGGATTCAAATCCAAGTCTCTCGACCCCAAAGTCTGTCTGCTTCCCTCAGCAACACTCCAACACCCACCTCGTGGAAGCACAAGGGACAAACTCAGAGGTGACATGAGGAGAGAAGCAGGAATGTAGAGAAAAAGAGGCTGGAAACAGGTTCCAAGGAAGGCAGTCCCCTCAGGAGGCGGGCAAGAGCCAGGGAGGAGGAGTCCATGGGAAGCCACTCTTTCCCTTATGCCCGGTTTGTGTCTGTGTTTTATTTTCAGTTCTGATTTTCCAACTTATGAAGAGTTGCCCCCCAATACCAAGCAGTCACGTGAAGGAGTGAAAGGGTAGGGTGGGGACTTAGGGTAAGCAGAAAGGGCATGCCCTACCAAGGCCACTCCCACAACCTAGTCCCTGTGAGAATAGATCAAGAGGCCCAGATCTACTTGTTTGCACAAAAACTGAATTCTCAGAGTTTGTTATGAATCTCCTGATTTTTAGGTTTTGGCAATTGTGTCAAACTTTTAAAAACACTTTGGCAAAAATAAAAGAGATCTGTGGATCAAATTCCAACCACGAGCCACCAATTTATAACTTCTGCAAACATTGTCCAAGCCCCCTCGACTGAGGACTGTGCACGGCAGCAGGTGGGGGCAAGAACAGAGGTGGGGTGGGGGGGTGCACCAAGAACTGGAGATAACTGAGCTACAATGAGGAATCACAGGATAGGCTGGTAAATACAAGCAGGTAGTGAGCGCCATACCAGCCATCAAGGCACAAGACATCAGTGGGCCTGCGCAAATGCATTCATACTGACTCAGAACCCAGAATAATTCCCACCCTCAGCCAGCACTGTTTTGCTATTAAGAATCTACTCCAAAGCGACTAAGGATTTTACATATTAATTTCAACCTGCATTCAGGGACAGAATTGCCAAAAACATCAGTTGTCCTCTGAGAATGAAGGCATTAAAAATTATCATGAGGTAAGTAGAGCAGATCCCCTAAGCAAAAACCTATAAATGGTGACTGATGATGTGAATGCTAATCACGGTGACCGGATTCTCAGGAGCCCCAAGCTACATCATCAGGTCTACAGCATTGGTCTTACCAACTACATCGTACCCTGACTGAGGAGAATGGATTAACAGAAGCAAGACGCCCAGCATAGATTCCAAGAAAGGGCCCAAAGAAACAAGCAAGGTCAGCCTGTGACTTGCACTGTCCAGGATTCCGTACCGCCCAGCATCGAGAGTGTTCTCAGCTGAGCTGTGTACAGACCTACAGTGATCCAGACAGTGTCAGGTTCATGGTGCTAGCCTTCAAGATAAACAGCCTTATACTGCCCACCCCCTTCCCACATATACTCCACCCCACTGAGATTTCACCAAATGACCTGCTCGGTGTAATTTGTCTTCCCATATAAATTTCCTGGTGGGTGGGAAATTAACTGCTCAGGTAATGGGCTTCAGTCCGCCCCCACTTACACATTTCCAACTGTAAAGTGATATGCTGGCATTCTGACTTAAAAATGAGTCTCTCGTAAGTTTGGTGAGCATGGTGTAACCCTGGAAAACTGAACAACTCCGGACACACTGGAAAAATAAAAGGCCTCTGGTATTCACAAAGCTAAGGACCAAGACTCTGGAATGTGGAAGCTCCATGAAGGCACTGTCATCTGTGCTTGAGAGGGCAGCCAACCCCCCTCGAGGATGTCTCTGTCTCACCTTGCTCTTACCTACAACACCCGTTGCCCAAAGGGAAATGCATGCAGAATAGATTTTTTTTAATTAATAAGGTTTATTTCCTAAAGTAGGTCTGGGCTTACAGCAAAATTGAGAAGAAAGCACAGAGGTTTCCCATACACCCCTCCCCACACACACGCACAGCCTCCCCCTTGTGAACCCCACCACAGGGGCACACTGGTACAACACCGCACCGACACGTGACCACCTAGCGCTCATAGTCTAGGTTAGGGTTCGCTCTTGACGTGTACCTTCTGTGAGTATGGACAAAAAAATGATGATATGTATCTGCTATTGTAACGTCAAACAAAATAGTTTCACTGTCCTAAAAATCCTCTGTGCCCTCTCTGCCTGGCTATTCATCCAGATTTCTTGTTATCACCATGCTTATTCAACCTTCTCTTCAAAAGTGGTATCTCACAACTAACCACTTGGTGGCGCCAAAGCAAAAGCTAAATTTTAAGTTCTGGCTAGCAGGCCTCCAAAAAGGCAGTTTCCACTGCTAAGGAAAAAGAATCCGTCTGTCTTTATGATCCTGTGACTCAGGAATATATATCAACCAGTTGACACATGAAAACAGGCAGGATAGTTCTGTTCACCCGCAGGGGGGAAAACAAGTCCTGTGTTTTTTTAAGTTTTTGAAGATTATGAATATTTTCAGTCCGGCCTACCTTGGGGATGCTGGCCTGTCTAATCGAGTCTAACCAACCAAACCCAGCCCTAAGTCGGTCACTTCACTCCTCATGAGTGGATCTACACGGGGCCTCTCCAGGGGCTGAATAATGAGGGGGATGCGGTTCATAGAGCACACACTAGTAAGTGGACTGCAGCTAGCTGGATTCACGCGGTGCCCCAGGGGTCCCACCCCTGTGAGGCATACTGAGTAGTGCCTGCCTGCTGTGGGTCCCCTAGGACACAGGACACTCACAGCTGCTGGGCGGACAGCTGCTCCCAGTCACCAAGAGCAGTCATGTTTGTTCCCAAACCCTTTTGTGGCAATTATATCATTATTCTAGTTATGTAATTTAATTTAAAAGTATGTGAACTGATCAGTGTGAAACAAGGAGTTATTATTGCTAGGAAAACTAGGTTAACTGCTTGGAAAGACTCCATAAGAGTGAGTTGCAAAAAAAATTAGGTGTGGGCAAGCTGATGCTAGATTAGAAAAAAAATCTTTAAACAGTCATCATTTTAGATTTCTGGCTTCTTAAAATGAAACAGAACCCATGGATTCGAGTTAAGGTTGTGATTACATAAGGCTAACAGAACTTCGGTTTGTGTCCTCTACTCAAAGTAAGGGCCTTTTACAAAGGGCTAAAAGACTATGTCTTTATGTTGAAAATGTTTATAAACACTTATTCCATTCTTTATAATACCCCATTTCAACTGGTATTTTCAATAAACACACCAACCCAGTCTCCGCTATGCCAGAGAGATGGGAAAACGGAGAAGCAAAAGGATGTCTGTCTCTAGTCTTGCTCTCAGCCCTAGGCCCTATTTTCAGGAGGAGCACATGCAACATGACTTAGGTCCCCGGGTGACCCAGGAGGACAGAGCAGGGAAGTTGGGCATTCTCTGGCTTCTGCGTGGAGCAAGGCCATGCTCTGGTCCCATGAGGGCACAGGCAGGCCTGGAGCACAGATCCTAGCTCTTACAGCAGGGCAGAGCTGTGATTTCGATGGCAGGTGGGCACAGAGGGATCAGCTGCATCCCAAAGGTTTCTCAGTGAACAAGAGATGGCAAATCAGAGAACCTGAGTTAAAATCCCACCTCCTCCATTTACGAATTGAGTTAATTTGAGGAATAAGTCCTTATCTTTAAAATAACAATAACACCTATGTACAATTTTGTTTAAAGCATCCAAGGGGCTAATGTTGGAAAGGTGCTTAACCCAGTGGCTTGGTTCATAGTAGAGAGGGCCACTAGAGGGAGAGAGAGAGAGAGGGAGAGAAAGAGAGAGAGAGGTGCTCTTCTCACTCCCTCCCCATCAACACCAAGTGCATACGTTTTCTCTTAGAATGAGAAACATGCAACAGTCTCTCTTCAATTGCTCAGAAAATTGTCACCTCAAATACAAAGGTATCTTTTCTATAAAACTATCACTTTCCCCCCTTCGATTCACAGGCAAGTGGGAACAGCAGATGGCCTTCCACGGGTGCTCCACACAGACTCTACAAAGCCTCGGAGTTTAAGCCCAGCCCACCCTGAGGGCACTCAGCCCTGGAGGCCCTCCAGAGCCCTTGCATTGGACCATATGCCCCACCCCGCCCCACCCCACCCCCAACACACACACACACACACACACAAGTCCCCGGTTAGAGTTGCCTGACACCACATGAGCAAGTGACCAAACATATCAGCACTCCATCCTAAAAAAGGAAACAAATAGCCCCTCCTCTAACCACCCATGTAGGGTGAACTAAGCACCCTCAGCAAATTCACTGATTTGTTTCTGTCATTTCCATCCCTGGAGTCACACGACATCGAGAGAAACATCAAAATAGTGGCCAAACGGCAACTCAGGCAGGACTTTGCAGGATATGCACACAAATGTTCCTCAGCGTGGCAAGCCCAGAAATGCTTCCCTTTTCTTTCCTTCCCAGAGTTACCAGAGGGGACCTGAATCTCAGGGATTGATGCACACTCACAAAATTCACAAAGAACAGACATCATCAAGTTATTAATCCATTGGAAGGATGGTAGCAAAGGTCCAAGGGGCTTTACT